CTTGGGTGATGTCCCTCAGCTCTTCAGCTCAAGACTAGCACTCTACCGCTTGAGCCACAGCGCCACTAATGGTTTTCTAGTGGTTTATTGGAGATAAGAGTCTCATGGACTTTCTTGCTTGGGTTGGTTTTGAACTGTGATCCTCAGATCTCAGCCTCCTGAGTTGCTAGGATTACAGGCATGAGCCACTGGTGCCCGGCTTTCAAAATGTTTTCTAAAAGACAATGCTAAAGAGTGAGGGGGTGGTGATTCTTTATAGTTTATTTTTTAATGTATTTTAAAAGTGGAGTGTTTAAATTGATTCATAAAAATTTCTCCATAGATGTTTAGTAGTCTGTTTTTTCTGAATGAATTTTTAAATTTAGATTTGGGATAACATAGCATGATGAATTAGAGAAGCTTTTATATATCAACATAAATAAAGTTATTGCAACTTTTTATTTTTAAATTAGGCTGACAAGACCTACATGCTACGAGAATATACGTCACGAGAAAGCAAAATCGCTAATTTAATGGTAAATATTTAATTTTTTTTTAGAAGTTGAGTTATAATATTTCAATCCCACCCATTCACCTCAATTTATATCTGCAAATGCATTCATTTATAGGGCTCTATTGGGTAAATCCTACAAAAGCATAACTTTTTGAGCTCATCTCACTCATGAGAATATCAGGAGTTGTTAGCTATTCTAGCCATCATTCAGTCTAATTTCTACATTTTGTTCTGGAGAAACTGAGATCCAGTGGAGTAATTTTACCCGAGTTCCACAACTGGTAGTGGTGGAGCTACAGCTGGCACTAATATGTATTCTTTCCACTTGCTACCACTTTAGAGTTTCTAGCTACATTGTCCTTTTTTCTTCCTAAAATGTGGCAATTCTGCACTATGACTTGTTTTCTTTAGTTTTTGCTCCTCTGGAACTTGGAAGAACTTCTTAGTACTTAAGATTTTATCATGAGTGGCTAAAAGGTAATACCTTTCCATAAACAATATTATTTTACCCTTATTATTTATTTCTTTTTGTTTTGAGACTGGGATTTGAACTTGGTACTTGGCGAATTTTCTCATTGGCTTGTGCTTTACCAACTGAGCCATGCCTCCAACCTCTTACTATTTATTTCTACCTTGATATATTTGTGGATAATAGACTATGCACTGGGCTGTAATTTAAGGCCAGTGCTTTCAAGTTAATAAAGCATCATAAACCAGATTCTTACATTTATTCCAGCATTTATAAATTATATAACCCTGTGATCTTTGAAAATCAGTAGAAAAATTGAATGATTGACAGGAAATATTGGGCATTTCTAGGAGTGCTTAATGATATATATATTCATTAAGTATATATTTATATATTTGATTTAGAAATTGGTATGCTTTATGAATGCTTGAACTAGAATATTTTTTAAAAACATCAATGCTATAATGGAGTATATGCTAATATGATTTATGTATTTTCTAGCATCTTCCACCTGCCCTCTTCACAGAACCTAATGAAATATCACAGTATTTACCAATAAAGGAGGCAGTTTGTGAGAAGCTAATATTTCCAGAAAGAGTTGACCCTAACTCTTCAGACTCACAAGAAAGTACACCCGTGGAATAGAATGTTTTCACTGTGGAATTTGACTGGACATGTTGGCTATTTGTAGGGGGTATTTTTGTTATGAGCATTAATTACCTTGCTTATGTACAGATTTTCTGTAGCCTTAAAGGAAATAAAAATAAAAATAAAATGTTGTAGGCAGGTTCACTCAACTGCTGTTTGTACGGTCTATCTTCAAATTCATAATCCAGATTTGAATGTTCTGGAATTAAATTTGGATTCCTAAAGTATCACAAAGTATGACCTCAGCAGTAGTGATATGTATATGTATCATGAGCTGTGGACATAGTATGCATCCATCATGAAACATTGTCTTCAACTATGAAGAGATTAATTTAAATAAATCACAATACTTTGTGATTTTAATAGGATTCCTGATTGTGCATGTTGATACTGGCTGTTCGTTTTGGGCTTTCTGATATTTACTCAAACTTACGGAGAGTTGTGACTTGTCACTTAGGAAATTAATTTTATGGTTTAATGATCTTTACCCACAGAAACTTAAAAATGTATTTAGCCCCACATTTTAAGTTAACTGTGAAACTTAAAGCAAGTTTTAGAAATAGAACCAAAAAACCCAAGTGTGGGAAACTTAGGCTATTATGCGCCTGGAAACTTGGACAGAATTTCCTGGGTTATTAGAGTTGTCTTTCCTCCATCTTTTCAGTACAGGACCTCATTAATACAGATATAAAAGTAAATTTCAAATAATGTGGTTTTTTTTTAATGTGGTTATTTTGATGATGAATATTTAACATTTTTATATTCTTTTCTACCTTTCTAGATGGTCTTCATAAAGTGGAAAAATATTTAAGCATCAAATAAGGAAGCAGATTCTTAAGTAAATTTTTAAAGAACAAGGAGGTAATTACCTCTTTGTTCTACTTTGAAATAACTATTACATTTCCACTTGATGGGTAAGCCATTAAATAAGAATACCTAATTCAAAGTATTAGCAAAGCCCTTCGATTTTAGCTTGAAGATAAATTTCAGTGAAAAAATACATTTCAATAATCATCAGTGCCCAGACTTTGATATATAGTTGTGAGTGAAACAGGCAGGGTCTGTCTTAATAGCTAAATTTCGTCACACATAATTTTAGTATTTGTCTTAATTACCTCCAAAGTATAGGAAATTAGGATTTTGTTGTTCATTGTATATTAAATATACCTGTATTTAAAGTTTTCTCTTAGGATAGGAAAGTGTGATAATGTGTTTACATGTATATATATGTGAATATACATACATACATATATACATTTTACCCAGCTTTCTGTTGTATTTGCCATGCAAGTTTAAATAGAACAGAGTCTATTCATGCAGATTATAAGAAATGAAAAACTTGTAAGAATATTCATTAATTGGTGTTTCCGGGCAATGTATATTATGTGTATATGTGTGTGTATACCCACATGTATTTTTAAAACTTAGTTGATTTAAATGTCTTGGTCTCCAAGTAGTCTTAGGTTACTTATTTTGATAATGCATTGCTAAACATTGTGGAGATTTTTTTTTTTTTTTTGGCCAGTGTTGGGGCTTGAACTCAGGGACTGGGCACTATCCCTGAGCTTCTTTTGCTCAAGGCTAGCACTCTACTACTTGAGCTACAGTGCCACTTCTGGCTTTTTCTGTTTATGTTGTACTGAGGGATTGAACCTAAGGCTTCATGTATGCTAGGCAAACATTCTACCACTAAGCCACATTCCCAGTTCAGAATTGAATTTTTTTTTAAAGAGTGTAGAAGTTGGTTAGGGTGAATATACTTCTGAAAATTTCATTAGTTTTACTCCTGTGGGGAATACCAAGAAAATGTATTTGGCCATTGCTAAATATGACATATATCATTTTATATTTATTTGTTGCAATGTCTTTTATAAGAATAAAAATGAGGAATTACTGATCTATGCTTGATTTTTTAAAATTTATTTCAGCTCCTCTTCATTGAAGTAGAGTGGTTTGGGGGTATATCTTAATAATTTTTTCTTTATGTTCTAAACTTGGTCAACATTGTAGACAAATTACCCATGCAGACTAGACTATAAATGAAAACTGAAGAGGTAGTTTACTTTTGGGCTTTTAATCCTTTCCCTTTTTATGTTTTCCAATACTGCTATGGATATTTTAATTAGCCATTAATTTATGGTGGAATGTTTTTCTGTTTTTGAAAACGTGAACCTGTTGAATGTCATTCTATTCAACTTTTGACTACTATGTGACCAACATCTAAGATTACAGTGATGAGAATACATAATATAGTTAACCCTCCATATACATGGGTTTTATACATAAATTCAATTAAAAAAGTACTTGACAAAAATCACACCTGTATTGACCATATCTCGTCATCTTCTCTGAACAATATTATATGACATTTACATTGTGTTAGGTATTATAAAGAATTTAGAGATAATTTAAAGAATATGTGAAAATATTTCGGTGACATTTTATGTATAGATTTGAACATCTGTAAATTTGGTATCCTAGAAGAGAAAGGGATTCTGTGTATCCAGTCCCAGTGAATACAGGGCAACTGTTTGTTTCCACACGCCTAAAGCTGAATGGAGGAGACAAAAATAAAACACCAGGCAATCTACAAACTTTTTTTTTTTTTTTGCTTTTCTTCAGCAAATCACTAAGGAAATAAGTATTCTAAATCCAAAAGAGTAATAATTCCTCCAAGGAGAGAGGACATAGAGTGTCATCAGAACTATAAAATATGGCCATGGGGCTGGGAAGTTGCCTTGCATGCATGAGGCCCTGGGATCGATTGCTCAGCACCACCTAAGCAGAAAAAGCAGGAAGTGGCACTGCGGCTCAAGTGGTAGAGCACTAACCTTGAGCTGAAGAGCTGAGGGACAGCACCCAGGGCCAGATTCAGGTCCCGAGACTGACAAAAAAAAAGGGGGGGCATAATAGAAGTGGGTAAAAAAATAGCAGACATTTAAAATTCTTGAGTTATGTTGGACTAGCCTATCAGTTTAGAATAGCAGAAAGGCTCAATTAAGGGGACTTAGATACGTTCATAATTTCTATCTGAAGGACCAGGGACCTACCTACAGTTGATGAACAAGAAAGACTGGATTAAGGGCTGAGGACCACCAAAAATCCTGGTCAGTAGTTCTGGAATGTGGGAGAGTTATAAATCCTGTCCAGGGGCTGGGAAGGTGGCTCAGTGGTAGAGCACTTGCCTTGCATCTTGAGGCCCTGGTTCGATTCCTCAGCACCACATAAGCAAAAAGGAAAAAGCCGGAAGTGGCACTGTGGCTCAAGTGGTAGAGCGCTCTAGCCTTGAGCTGAAGAGCTGAGGGATAGCGCCCAGGCCCAGAGTTCAGGCCCCACAACCGGACCCTCCCCCCAAAAAAATCCTGTCCACTTTTCTCAGGTGCTTCTTAGGGTGCTGTAGAGAGAAGCAACAACCCTATTACCACCATTCCTGGCAAAATCCATTGTTCCTGAAGAACACTGGTAAAACATACCTGTTTCTGGGGGAAGAGAGGGAAATTTCTCCCTTCTGGACAAAGAATAATCGCTGGTAGGGAAGGAACAAAACTTGTCTGACTTTAGATGAGGGACTATGAAATAATCTGGCTCTAAGACCCCACTGTGTAACCAGTTCTGCTGCTATGGGGGGGGGGTCATACAAACCGCAGATGAGGTAGTTTAGCTATTGGGAAATGAGGAAAGAATGTTAAGCTATATCACAGAAGGTCTGACACAAGGCCTACAGAAGTAGGCTAGTCAAGGCCAATTTGCTATGAATTTAGTGACAAGAAATCAGTCTGTTGCTGAGAAAACAGAGAGAGTGTAAATAATAGATTAAAGTGATGCAGACGGCGTGGGCGCGGGCATTGTCCCGAGCCTGGCCCGAGCATCCTTGCCCTGGCGCCGCCCCCAGCGCCCCTCCGGCCAGCCAGACCCAGCCATGATCAAGGCCATCCTCATCTTCAAAACCACGGGAAGCGGGCCGCTGTCCAAGTTCTACCAGTCCTACAGTGAAGACACCCAGCAGCAGATCATCCGGGAGACCTTCCACCTAGTGTCCAAGAGAGACGAGAATGTCTGCAACTTCCTGGTCAAGGAGGCTTTTGATAATCAGTCTTCAGCTGTGTAACTTTGTGTGGCCTGTGGAGTTACATCCAGTTAATTGGAGGCTCTGACAACAAGCTGATCTACAGACACTATGCAACCCTGTAGTTTGTCTTCTGTGTGGATTCCTCAGAAAGCGAACTTGGCATTTTAGACCTCATTCAAGTGTTCGTTGGAGACCTTAGACAAATGTTTGGAGAATGTATGTGAGCTGGACTTAATATTCCATGTAGACAAGGTTCACAATATCCTGGCAGAAATGGTGATGGGCGGAATGGTGCTGGAGACCAACATGAATGAAATTGTCATGCAGATCGATGTGCAGAACAAACTGGAGAAGTCTGAGGCTGGCTTGGCAGGCGCTCCAGCTCCGGCTGTATCAGCTGTAAAGAATATGAACCTTCCCGAGATCCCAAGAAATATTAACATTGGTGACATCAGTATAAAAGTGCCAAACCTGCCCTCTTTTAAGTAAAATATTAAAAAGACCACTCCCAGGTAAAACCCAGGGGAAAAAGTCATCTAAGTTTACCATGCAGTTGTTTACCAAAAATAGAGGAAGCGAGTCTTAACTTTTGCTCTTGGATTTAAGTCAGGGTACTGTATAGAAGGTGCGTAAAATCAGTATGGAAGCTCATTGTTGCTTTTCTTGCTCAGTGATTTTAAAGAAAATTGAATAGTATAGTTCCTCTGTGTGTGTGTGTGTGTGTGTGTATGTGTTTCTTTAGAAAAAAACTGCATTCCTATGCCCACCTAAGGCATGCCCGTATGTATTGGCTATTACAGTGTTTCCAAAAGTGAGATATTACTTTAACTATATACAAGTCAGACTATTGGTGTTTTGTATGGATCACAGGTAGAGCATTCTCTAATTCTTTCTACCGTTTGTCACAATTGTTAAAGAACCAAGTATGTATTGCATGAAAACATTATGACCTTTTCCTCTTAGTTTAAATTCCAATATAACTGGACTTCTGAAACACCTTTCTGTTGGCCTGATATCTACATTAGCAATAATGTTTTTTACAACCCTCTGATTCAACAAAGTAAATAAAAGTCTATTTTATCACTGTTAAAAAAAAAGTGATGCAGACATGCAGGAATCTCTGAAAGTTTAAAGTGAGAGTCAAAAGTCCTGTTTGCCAGTCTGTGCCAGCGGTTCACAGATTAAATCTGAGGGGAGAGGTTTGAAATCAGACCTGGCAGGAATGTCCACAAGACTCTCATTACCAATTAATCAGCAAAAAGGTGGAAATGGAGCTGTGGCTTAAGTGTGAGAGTGCTAGCCTTGAGCAAAAAAGCTCAGGGACAGTGCCCTAGTCCTGAGTTGCTGAAGCACAACCACTTGACTGTAGTAAACAGAGTTTGGGGCAAATCCCTTAACTTATAACAGACCAAAATTCTTGGTAATATTCAAATTTTCCTACAGACACATATCCACAACCTTTCATAAATGTTCTTTGTTGAAGGAGGTGTGTAATTGATCTGACAACCTCACTGTAGATCTGTCCTCTCCCCACACCCAGTAGAACAAATGATTCACCAAGTTCAAAACAATGTACAATTCCTTTCCTTTCAGGTAAATTTTAATCAGTTCCTTGATTTTGGCCAAATTTACCTCTCACACATTTTCAGCCAGATCTACAGTAGTGCTACATATATAATAGAAACAATATACATATATATATATATATTTATTACATTTCCCCATGCTTCTTAGATTGTAAGTACAGCCAACCACAGCACTGGTTAACAAGTCCGCACAAGGTTTCATGTTCCGGTTTGGAATGCAGCATCAAACTGACAAGGCCAGGGGTTTGACAACTCTGGGTCTGCGTTAATCGTAATTCTCGGGTCCGGTTGAAGCCCAACCGGAGGGCGGGGCGGGCCGGCTCGGGGCGGGGCCGACGCGGGGCATGCCGGGCAGCCAGGTGGGCTGGAACTCGGGCGGGGCGAGCTGTGGTTGGCGGTGGCCGCCGAGGGGCCGAGTCGCCCGGAAGTTCCGTGGATCCAGCGAGCGCAACCGGTGGTCGCCGGTCTGGAGAAGGTAGGAACCGGGGCCAGCCATGGACAAGCTAAAGAAGGTGCTGAGTGGACAGGACACCGAGGACCGGAGCGGCCTGTCCGAGGTGAGCGCCCCCTGCGCCCCCCGCGGCTCGCGCGCCTAGGCGTCGAGTGCCGCGAGCTCGGGGACCCGGGACGCGGGACGTGAGGACTTGGGGCCTGCAGGTGCCCCAAGTCCAAGATTTCTTATAAAGTAGCTCGGTGCCCTCTTCCATCTGTCGTGGCAGGTTCGGGCAGGTTCCGCCACAGGTGCGGAGCCCAGGCACCATTCTTGGAGCCCTCGATCCCTGGGTCCTTCCCTGCCCAGCCCCTTCCGTGTCCCACCCCCATCCCAGCTGGACGGCCGGGAGTAAAATTGGAGTAACACTTCTGCAGAGCGCACGGCAGGGTAGAGACCGAGCCACCCAACAGTCCCGTAGGTCAGGTGGGGATCTCCCAGGCGGAGATCTCCCAGGCCGGGATCTCCCAGGCGGGTCTCGGTGTGGTGCTGGGCGGGGCCTCGCATCGTCCCAGGCTCACAGCCCACAGAGGCTGGGGCCTGGGTCCTTCCTGGGTTTCAGAGGCCGGTGTGACACGCCCATCCTACCTTGTGCCCTTCCTCTGGTTGTAGAACTCTCCTTCTGGGGCCTGGGATCTAAGACCTAGCAGGTCTGAAGCTCACACGACAATACCTGCCTGCTTGTTTTTATTAGAAACAAGCCTGTTTTATGGAGCCGAAACCTGAGTTTCCCTTCAAATCACTGTGACTCATGTTGTTCTCAGCAGACTGCTTGCATCAACCTTTGTATCAACCCTTGTGGTTGATTTTATTCTGAGTTTTGTTTTGTTGGGTATGGTTACCGCCCATTACACCCCCTCCAAGTAAAACTCAGAATGTAAAACTTATCTTTTGAATCAGCCCCTAAAACACCAGCCCCTAAAACACTGTAGGAATTAAGTGTTAGAGGAATGGAAGTTTCACTTCTTTTGACAATTCTCAGGGTTCTTTTGTGGTTTTTGACTTCATTAATTGGTCAAGGCTCAGGAGTGACTTAATTTTTTTCTCAATTTCTGGCCTCTGCTATGAACTCAGGAATTGAACCTCTGATGGGACCTAAGGTCTGGGACTTGGTTTTAAAAAATATGTATTTTTATTATCTTCAGTTATACAAAGGAATTGTAATGAAGAAAATCAGGTCATGTATACTATGCATCTCCCATTCTTCTCAACCCAACCTCTTCCCTCAGTTTTCTTAATTTTGTAGGATATACATTGAAATTTTTTTTGGGGGGAGTCCGTTCATGGGACCTGAACTCTGGGCCTGGGCGTGCTCTACCACTTGAGCCACAGCACCACTTCCGATTTTTTTCTTTTTGCTTATGTGGTGCTGAGGAATCGAACCAGGGCCTCATGCATGCAAGGCAAGCGCTCTACCGCTGAGCCACCTTCCCGGCCTACATTGAATTTTATCACTGCATTGAGACTTAGTTTTTCACACTGATTGTCATCTAAAGCTCTGTACCTTGTAGACCACCAACAACTGTTGGAGCAGTTGGGGTTTAAGAGAGCCACACTCTTCTAGAAGATTCTTGACAGATTATGCAGATGTTATACATTTAGAAAATTATGAAGCAGAGGGTAGACCCTCAAGACTGAATGATTAAATACCATTGAAGACTTATTACATCATTAAAACATTAAAAAAAAAAGCTGTTTGGTCCCAAATAGTGAATTCCCTGTGTTGGGTAAAATTAAGGACCTTGTTCTCTTGTGTGCTCAGGCACATATAACATTTATTTTGAAAAGAATAGGATCTTCTCTCCTGTTATTAAATACTGCTATCAGTTTCCTCTTTTAGAGTGAGATTTCTGTTTATGTGCATTGTTGTGGCAAACATTTTATAGTCATTTTATTAGGTTTTGTTTTGGTTTAGCTTTCACTTATTTAGGAAGGGCTTCCTTTGAAATACTGGTGATAATGAGACCATATTTTCATTTTCCATGGTTTTGAGGCTGGCAAAGCAGGATTCTATGGTAAAATTCCAACTTTATGTGGTAAGCTGGATGAGGTGGCCTTAAAAAAATATCTCTTCAAACTCAATGACATAATCATTAAACAGTTATTAAGAGATATTTAATTTTTTGAAATTATTGTTTCAATACCAACCACAAAAGTATGAACATCTCTATTCCTCCTATTTATTGTAGGTAGCTATAAAGTTTGTCTAATCATCAACAGCCTCATGATGAGTTTTCTAATTGACCTCTTGTGTTTGTAAACACACCTTTCTTGCTGAAAGGATAGACTGTTTCCTGTGTGGAAGTCTCTGGACGAGGAAGTTTGAATGGTATCTGATCAGAGGGCACAGGAATGAGCAGCATGCCTGTCTGGCTGTCTTCTGGTATCCCTAATAATCCTTAGCTTTACTTCTTGGCAGGAGCCCTCTTTCCCTCCACATCCTGGAGTCAAAGGGGCCTTTGTGCATGACTGTAAGGCAGACAGCTTTGAACACATTGCCTACCAATTCTATCCAGGGTCTGTTTTAGCTAGTTTTGAATTTTTTAAAAAAAACTTTGTACTGGTCTAACTTTAAGTAACTAGGATTTAGAGAGATATTTTACGTCAGCTGACTTCCTTTTCAAAAATTGGCAAAAAGGAAGGTTTTGCTTTCATTGAGTACAGTTGGAAGAAGTGGAAAGTAGTTTCTGCTTTCTCTGAGCAAGTGTAAAAGAACTGGTAGCCATACAGATAGTGGAAAAACACAGTGGTGAAATTATTTAGTTGCCTACATCCTCCTCATTTTGGCCAAAAAGGCAAACAGATGGTTTCAGCTTGTAGAACCAAAGTATCATGTTCTTTTCTTAAGATAGAAACCAGAAATAGTTTTGGTGGAATAGTTTCTTCTTGTCCATGATTTTTTTTTTTAAGCAGGGTTGAAACTCACTGTCCCTGTTGAGATGAGTTAGCACTGTGTCAAGTACAATTCAGATTTGACACTTAACCTTATGGTTTATCTTCCTAAAAATAAACAGCCAAAAAGGTCTTTGTAAATGTTCCTGTTGATGCCAAGTGGAGTGCAGTTTAGGACAAATCTAGTCCAGGCCTGCTGACCACTCCTTTCTCCCTCCATGGGGCTTTGTTCCCCTTTTTACCCTGGCAAGGAAATTCTTTGGTTCTTGCAGGAGTAGGAAGAATAGTAGCTTTGCATTCTTTTCTGCCCTTGGTGGAAATTACATGGGTTAGTTAGAAGTGGTCCAACTTCAATGTCTGTGGCTCAGGAAAGCAGGGAAACAACATCGCCTGGATCATTTTGGAACCAGAGAGACAGACTCTTCAGAGGCCAGATGGCTCAACTGTCACATTATAACATGCTCCCTGGTGCATGCCTTCCCTCTCCCCCACTTACCTTTATTTTTGTGGTGCTGATGATGGAATGCAGGACCTTGCATGTGCTAGGCAAGCAGACTACCACTGAGCTACTACATTCCCAGTCCATCTCATTCTAATCGTTCCTCCTGTGCAGGCTTCATCTATGTCACAGGTTTCTGTATCTGTTCTGTTGGAGTACTGTAAGCCTAACTTCTGTGTCGTAAATGTGACTATATGGGAGTGTGAAGAGAACCTATGATGACCTAAATACCTTCCTACTGAGTAGAGATTAAATCCTTGTGCTGCAGTACCTGCAATGCCTGGGGAACTTTTGGTCCTTCAAGTTTCTGGTTTGACAGCTTGAAAACAGGTGACCCTTGCAGCTCTGCACAGTACCTTCCTCCATGAGAAGGGTGGAGATGTGGTAGTTGACTTAAGACCACTTTGTCTGGGAGGAGACTGTGCTGCCTGTATAAGAGTGTCTCTGTGTAAACAAATACTGGGTCTGGCTGCCCCACTTGGCTTTGTTCCTCAGTGGTAGCTGCCTTTGACAAACTAGGGCCAGTTGAGCACTCTTGGATCAAGTAGATAGCCTAGGCAGGGCCTGCTTCAGAGACCTGATTGCATTTTTTGACATGGAAAAAGAAACTGTCATGGGCTTTTGTAAGTTCAGTAGAGTTTTTCTGGAAATATCAGCTTCCCCTGAACTTTGTTACAAGGAAGCATTAATTGTGTCAGAGAACCTGGAAGAACAGAGCAGTATTTAATTAACGAGGAACTGTCTGACCCTTGTGTGACTTGGCTGATAAAAAAAATCTGCCTGAGAGCAAGTAGCAGGGACAAATCCTGGTAAGGACAACAGCTTTCTCCTTCTAGAGTCCCAGAAATGCCACAGAGCTACATCTGGGCTGGATGACCAGTACCCAGATGCCGGAGTGCAGGGTCCTTGTCTTTTTTCCTGTGATTCAGACTCTGCCTCGTTGGAGCTCTGCTTTTCCAGTTTCCTCATTCTGCCTGGATTGTGTAAAAGCTTTGGGTTGATTTGCTGCCTGTTTCCTTGATTGTACTGGAGGCAGGAAGTCTCCACCTCTGGAGATGCTCAGCATCTTATATCACCTTTGGAGAGGAGATTCAAGTTAGAGCTTAACAGATCTTGAGGTTTGCTTACTGTGATGACTTCCTGTAGCTATCAGCATGTAGGACCCTGTTCTCTGCTTTCCCCAATCTAGATTGACAACACTTTTCTGAATGTAAATGTGTGATTTCTTTGTTTGGGTTATATGTGCATATGCATATATGTAATCACCGTTTTTTGAAATTTCAGGTTGTTGAGGCATCTTCATTAAGCTGGGGGACCAGAATAAAGGGCTTCATTGCGTGTTTTGCTGTAGGAATTCTCTTCTCCCTGCTGGTAAGATCCTTTCCTTTTTCTGTCTTTTCTTCCTACTTTTCTTTGAAATCTCCTCTCCCTTCTGCTCACCTCTTTTCCCCTTTTGCCTTTCCCTGAAATGGTATGGGTAAGAAGAAAGGGAGATGGGGAGGTAGGGAGAATGGCAGGCTCCTCAAGCCTCCTTCTATGAACTCCTGGTTGGTGATTAGTGGGAAGGGTTGTTGTGCTCATGTGCAAATGTGCTGTGTTTTCACTTCCAGGGTACCCTTCTGCTGTGGGTGCCCAGGAAAGGGCTCCTCCTCTTCGCAGTGTTTTATACCTTCGGTAACATCGCATCAATTGGGAGGTAACCTTTTTTTTTTTGGTTGATTGTGGGCGCTGTCCCTCATGGGTGCTGTCCTCAGCTCTTCAGCTCAAGGCTAGTGCTCTACCACTTGAGCCATAGTGCCACTCCCAGTTTCTGGTGGTTTATTGGAGATAAAAGAGTCTTATGGACTTTCCTGCCTGGGCTGGCTTTGAACTGAGATCCTCAGATCTCAGCCTCCTGAGTAGCTAGGATTATAGGTGTGAGCCTGGCTGGTCATTGACTAGGTAAGCGTAGGTCATATAGTACTGGGCTCTGAATTAGGACTTCAAAGACAATAAGTACAATTTGATCTCTGTTCCATTGGAGCTCAGTGACCAGCCAGGCAGGCAGACATAAACTGATGACACAATAGGATGTGGAAAGCAAAGCTGGGGAATTAGAGGGGTTCCTAGAGAAGGGAATATTTGAACCCCCATAACGTTTCACCTGAACTATTGCAGTATTTCTCTGCTGGGTGTCTTGGCCTCCTTTGTTGTCCCTCTCCAAGCCAGTTTCCACTGAGGTCATAAGCCATTTATATATAGCCCCTCAAGTGGCTCCCAGTCTCCTCTACTGATGGAATCCAAACTCCTCACATGTGTACCAGCAGAGACCTTTGAGATTTGGTTTCTCTCAGCTCCTACTCAGCTAGGCTCTGCTTCTCAAATGTCTCCAAGCATCTTTATATTACTTGATCTCTTTTCTCTGCCTGTAGTACTGTTTCCTCTTTCTTCACCTAGTTTGGTGGATAATACATCTCAAAGCCACCTCTAATTTGACACATTCCTGGATTGCCTCCTCTTCTTTTTCCCATATATACTGATATGACAGCACAGGGATCACACCAATTTACTACAGTCTTCTGACAAGGGCTGTGCTTGTGTCTTACTTGCCCCCACCAATGTGTTTGGCTGGAGGAGTAAAACAGATGTTGAATGCATGACACTGGTCACCTTCTTTAAGCTGAACTTATTCATGTGTGTGCCAGTGATGCTAGCCCTTAGAAATGTCTAAGGGTGCTGCTAAAGCTTTATAAAATAGTCACTTTGGGGAGGTTTTGTTTTGGGAAGACTGTCAGTGTGTGGCTTAGTCTAAAAGAGCCCTTTAGCTAATCTTTATGGGGTAGACTCTTCAGAACACTGTGGAGGGAAATGAAAGTATAAATCATTTTCTGAGTATTATCAGGAAATTGTGGCTTTACCTATTGTCACTATATATAATCTCTTTACATACACATATAATCTCTTTACATACACATATAAAGAGATTTATAAAGAGATTTATGTGTGTATGTAAAGAGATTATATGAAAGTGTGTGTGTGTGTGTGTGTGTGTGTGTGTGTGTGTGTGTGTTTGTGTTTGTATTCTTATGTGTATATACACACAGCCATCCCTGGTGATGGTTACTGGGGTTTGAACTCAGAGCTCCATACTTGCTAGGCAGGTCTACCACTTGAACCATACCTCCAATTTGTTTTATTTTTATTTTTATTATTTTATATTATATTTTGGCCAGTCCTGGGGCTTAAACTCAGAGCCTAGGCATTGTCCCTGAGCTCTTTTACTACTTGTACCACAGTACCACTTCTGGCTTTTTCTGTTTTATGTGGTACTGAGGAGTCAAACCCAGGGCTTCATGCATGCTAGGCAAGCACTGTACCACTAAGCCACATTCCCAGCTCCCTGTTTTATTTTTATATATGCTATATTTAATTTTTAGAACTGGTCTTGGCTATTGCTTCTTCATTACCTATTGGTTACAGGGATCTACACAGACACTTGAGTTGAGAAAGTAGCCTTGAATTCAGGTTATAGCTTCTTGGCACTTCAAAGGGAGGCTGACTTATTTATATTTTCTTTTGTTTTTAGTGAGTTCTGAATAGCTAATGTCATCTTACAGTTGGCTTGTATTAAATAAATACTAGCTGTGAGGAGTTAATAATGTATTGATACCATGTGGGCATGTCCTTGGGACTTAGGCCACATTACCTGGCCCTGGGCCCTGGCCCTTGACTGTTAGGCATAAGGGTCTGCTGCACTTCAGATCCCTCTACTCCCCAGACAGTTTCATTCAGTCCTACAGAAAGTATGCTAGGGGTGTTTTTCAGGATAGAGTTGGGGTAGATGCTGGCTGTTTGGGCTACCAGCTATGTGATCTTGAATACTTAAATGAGTCTTTCTACGCTTTATTTTCCGTCTCTTAAATACATGTAATATTGGTTTCAGAGGTGGTGAGGGGAATAATGTATGTAATATCTGCCAGTTAGTAGACATTCAACAACTAATGTGATCATCATTAAAATTAGTCCCTGGAGGTATGTAAGAAAATGAAATATTAAATTTTTTTAACACAACCTAAGCCTTTAAGGTATGGTATGGTATTTCTTTTTTTAAAAAATACATGGTTGGTTATTTTATGGGTTGATAGTCAAGCCTTTCTCAGAAGGGTCATCAAGCTTAATGGTATGAGTGTGGTGTAGTGCCAGACACACGGCTTTTTAGCCTAGCTCTGTTGTTTACTGGCTAGATGCATAATCCTCTAGGCTTCATTTTTCCTCCTGTCCAAGGTAAGCATGATAATTGTTGCTATCCCATAGGTCCTTGAGAGCAATGCACAGAATATATAAGCACAGTTCTTGACACATAGTAAGAGCTGTTAAAATGTTTGTAGCTTTTCCTATATTTTTGCCACAGGAAATCTTGGGGAGTTGGCTTGGTGTGCCACATATGATTCTGTTCTGAATGGTTTGTGTGTTTTATCTCTTAGTACCATCTTCCTCATGGGACCTTTGAAACAACTGAAGCGCATGTTTGAGCCTACACGTCTCATTGCAACTATTCTGGTGCTGGTATGTTCTGGTTTTTAGCTGAGCTTCTCACCAGCGAATTTCTTTCCTTCCCTGAAGTTGAACCTGGGGCCTTGCACATGCTTGACAAGCATTGTACCACTGAGCTATGTTCTCAGTCCTTCTTATTTTGAGATAGAGTCATGCTATGTATCAGGCCAGTCTTGACCTTGAAATCTTCCTGCCTTAGCCTCCTGAATGTCAGGATTATAGGCATGTTTCATCCTGACCATTTGGGAGTTTTTATTTCCATTGATCCAGAATGCCTCTCTTTGTCTCATATGGACACATGGCCATCAAAATCATCCCAAGCTAGTGGCTTATGCCTGTTATCCTAGCTACTCATGAGGCTGAGATCTGAGGATCACAGTTCAAAGCCACCAGGGGCAGGAAAATAGGTGAGACTTATCTCCAATTAACCAGCAGAAATCTGGAAGTGGAGTCGTGGCTCAAGTGGTAGGCCACTAGCCTTGAGTAATAAAGCTCAAGGATAGTGCCCACATCCCGAATTCAAGCCTTAGGACCAACACACACAAATTTTTTTAGACTCCTTTCTTTTGACTCCTGATCTCATATCCTATTACAACAGGGAGGACTAGATAAGCATACTTCTCCCATCCAAGTACTAACCAGGCCTGACCCTGCTTAGCTTCTGAGATCAGACGAGATCAGGCGCGTTCAGAGTGGTATGGCCGTAGACTAGATAAGCATACTTCCCTTATTAGTTTCACTTATATACATCTCAGTTGCTTAAATAGGTAAGTTCTCTAAGGCATGAACATATTTGCTTATTTATTTTGTGTTCTACAGAGCAGGTACAGTGCTAGACACAGAAAATGTTTAAGGACTTACTGATTAATATAGGTACTGTTTTGGAGAAAGGCAGGAACTGCTACTGCTTGTAGGTAGATGACCTGGATCAGTCTCTTGTGGAAAAAGCTTTCTAAGAAAGGAGTTAGGAAAAGGCTCAGATGACATGTAGACAGATAACTGGCTTGCTGACTGTGAAATTGTTATGTTATATTGACCTTTGTCCTCACATACTCTTCTATTACAGACACTGGTGTTTTGCCAGAGTTAAACTACACAAGTTTGTGGGAAGCTCTGTGTGTTTGATTGAAAAGATGGATGGGTGAATGGCTGGGTCAGAAGAATGCTTGTAAATAGAGAAGCATCTTTGCTTTTTTAATCTTGTTGGCTGATCTGATTTCTTGGAGATTTTAGCACTTCTGCCATTAAGATGGATTAACTGCTTTGAAACAAAGGATGCAGGGGGTTGTCGTGATAATCATAGAATCTGAACTCTGCAGCCTAACAGAAATTGATGTGAGTTTGTCAAGAGCAATAAGGTTTTCATTATTAGTATATTAATTAAATCTTTCCTCTCTCCTTCTAGGTGTGTTTTGTGCTGACACTGTGTTCTGCCTTTTGGTGGGTAAGTGTAGATTGTTAAATCCTGTAAATTTTTTAGTTCATGCCCATTGTCATGCATTGTCCTGTGACCCTATTATCTTTCTTTCAGTATAACAAGGGACTTGCACTCATCTTCTGCATTTTGCAGTCTTTAGCCTTGACGTGGTAAGTAACCTTTGTAGTAGCCTGTTCTCACTCAAACCTCTAACTCATGCAACAAAGGAGATAAAAACTCAATGTGCTGTAGGTGTGAGGATTAGTAACATACAGAAGTTCTGCCACTGAAGAATTCTCAGTCACTCAAGTGAAATCAGGTTCCTGTACCACAGCTTACAGCCAATAGATGGCATTAGTGGTCTTGAGTGGTCCTACGCAGCTACTGGATGGCTGCTAAAGCATTTTAAGAACAGGTATAATAGGTATAATGAGGTTGTGAGTCAGACATTAACAGAAAAGGAAAGTGGTAAGAAAAACAAGAATTGTTACAGTTATGATAGAGTGAATCATTGAACAGAAGGGCAGAGTGGGAACTTTCTGTGGGAGATGAGGAGCAGACATAATGGTACCAAGGTCAGTGTATACATTGGAGGCCTGTTAGCTTTAGGATTCCAGCTGAAGGGTTTGTCTGACACATAGAGTCTAGTTATTGAGAGTTTTGACTTGTAGAGCCTCTTCATACCATCCTGATCTCACTGGGACTCATCAAGGGCTTGGGATCTTGAAGACCTCTCATAGATATTCACTCCATTGTGGGAATAGAGTGGGTAGTATTTTTCTTTTTCTTTTTTAATGGTAGAAGAACAGAAAATGTATTGCAGCTGAGTCAAAGTTAAACTCTGTTAAGGGTTTATAAAATCTTTGAAAGCAACTGTTGTGGATTATATTTGCAGTTCTTTCAGAATAGAGCTTCTAGGCCATCTGGATATCTGAAATTTGCCTATTTTAGGTGCTTGCTGTTAGCTCACTCAGTGAAACTGAGGCCATTAGGATTAGTGTCACAAGGTTTTGCCCCCTTTGATGGCTACAGCTTTGCATATGGTAAAGTTGTATGAGCACGTGTGCATGCACACTCCTAGACCACGGAGGACAGTGGGCCTGGATAAATAAATTTAGGTACATTGAGAACTCAGGAACACTACTGTGTAATCTCCACAAATCTTTATTTATTTGGCCTTTTGATTTTCATTATAGGTACAGCCTATCCTTCATTCCATTTGCCAGGTAAGACTATTTATTTGGAAATGCAATTTTTAACATTTATAGTTGGTGATATATTTGCATAGGGTCTTTTAGTTGAGAAAGTTTTATTTTTAGAGAGTACCTGTCAAAATTCTTTGAGCTAAATAGGCAAAGCTTATATGACTGTTTTATTATGATTAAGAAGTTAAGGGCACCTGTCCATTGAAGCTAATTATACAACTAAAATGTATTAACATGCATCACTGTCCCTCAGTGACATCATCTGTAATATAGAATAAATATATGCACATTATCTTTCTTAATCTATAGTTTTGAGGTTTTATGTACTTATTTTTTATTATAGAGGTGAGCATCAGTTTAATGTCACTGCTTTTAAAAGATGGAGGAATCTAATTATATGCTTGTTTTCTTATAGTATCCCACGTGGGGAAACCTTGTGACGGGAAAGTGAGCAGAAAGGGGGCTGTGGAGGACTAGAACTTCCTAGTTGTAGTGTGGCTTTGGGCAGCTCTTTTGAGGAGAGTGGAGGTCTGTCTTGCAGTCCAGGCCCTTTCCTCTCAGGAACAGGCCACTGTGGGACATTCACAGAGGGTCTTTGCCACTGACAGGGGCCTTGAGGGGATGATACCTCATTCATCATTTTGCATTTTTCCTTCCTATAGGGATGCTGTGAAGAAGTGCTTTACCGTGTGTCTTGCATAGTACACTGCCAATATGCAAAGCTTTTGGAAGGCCCTGTGGATGGAAACTGATGGACAGTTTTGTAAAGATCCTTTACACCTCTGTCTTACAGACACGTGCCTTTTATCTTACAGCAGTGTGATGCTTGCAATTTGAACATTTGAGGGTTGTCTTTGGAAGTAACTCTCTGTTCCCAAACCCAAATATCTGTAGCATAATATACAACACAGGCTCTGTATGTCATGGAGTTGGAATCTTCTTCATGAACCGTTTCCTCCTTGGATGGTGTCCCATTGGAGTCTCATAAATAAACATTTTGTGAAATAGCAGCACATAAGCCTCGGGAGGTGAGTCCCAGTGACAGCAGGCAACTCCATTACAGATTACAACAGTTAAGGAACAGAAGTTTGGAGTCATCAGGAACTTTCAGACTTGTCCCGTACTATGGAGACCATCACTGCTGCGTGGAAATACTTCTACCTTAGGGTCTGAAAACAGATGATTCTTCCTTATCTAAGCCTGTGCTGTGCCTGGCAGTGGACTGAAGTAAAAATAAGCACCTTTCAGTAATGGGTTGTTTCTTAATCTAGATGTACATCCTCCTGCTGTTCTGAATTATGTCTGACTATAGAATGTCTTTTTAGCATTCGATTCAGATTCTTTCTCTCCTAGGTACCACCTCACCCTGCCCATATCTTACTTATGACCTGACTCTAGATGGAGAGAGAACAGAGCAGTTGTGGAAAACATGCCATTTCCTTTTGGATAGGAGCCCATAGGAGGTGAAAAATCTTGCTATTCCTTGATGTTTTTTTGTTTTTTGTTTTTGGTTTGTGTGTGAGTTGTGGGGCTTGAACTCTGGGCCTGGGCACTGTCTCTCAGCATTTCAGCTCAAGACAAGTCCTCTACCACTTGAACCACTTCTGGTTTTCTGGGGGTTAATTGGAGATAAGAGTCTGTAGGCTTTCCTTCCCAGGCTAGCTTTGAACTGCAATCCTCAGATCTCAGCCTCCTGAATAGCTAGACGTGAGCCATGGGCGCCCAGCTTTGATGTATTTTTTTCTTCATTATTTATGTGTTTGTTTTGATTTTATCTTCTGTCCTCGCCTGGAGTGGGGCCAGGGAAGATTGGGTGGGGAGACGGATCCTGGCTGTGGGACCATCAGGTAGGAGGCACGCCTGCCGAGATGTCTTTAAGCTCCAGCCTTTGTACTCAGCTTGTGCTGTGGGCCCTGAGGGGACATAAGACTATACAGTGTCAGGTCCAATCACATGCACAGTGATTTTGTGTTTGTGACCTTGCTGGTTCTCCTAAGAGCTTTGTGGCCAAGCAGAGAATGTCACCCCATTGTGCAACCAAGGGAATTGAGGCTCAGATCCCTTTCTGCATTTACCCAAAGCTATAATAGGGCAGAGGTTGAATACTAATGTATAACATTATCACCTGTTGTCTCATTGACTGTTCACAGTGACTGCCAGACAGAGGTATTGCCATCATTAGAGAAAGAAAGGGGCTTGTACCATTTCCCACCTTGGAACATCAAGGAAGGGCTTCTTGGCATAAAGGCTTTTGCTTCACCTACCCTAACTTCCATAGCCTGTGACTGATTTGCTCAGGCAGCTTTCAGTTTGGACAAAGCAGCTTTTTCCAGGATTTTCAAAACTCCAGATTTTTTTTAACTTCTATTGCCTTGCCCTTTGGTTGTTGTCTTGTTTTTGCTTAGGTGGTGGAAAGAAGAAATTCACTTCAAATGTGCTTAAATCTAACAAGTGAGAATGGAGAATTAGGGCTGCAGACTGGCTGTTAGTGGTCTGTTTCCTGCTCCCTAGCCTCCCCCACTTCTGCCATTCACTACCTAGTAGAGATCACTGGGAAGGTAGGGAACCTTTAGATGTCTCTTACAGATGGGGGTGTGATGTGCTTCCACTCTAGTGGAGCCACTGGCTGGAGCACTTCCTCTCTTGGACTGCAGTTCTGTCAGTGATTAGTTGTTGGGAGGAGAATTCCCCTGCAGACCAGGAGTGGTAATTTGTAGTTTCCTTGACCCTCTTCCCCTTGTCCAAGCTTAGACTTGTTGGGTGGCCAGCAGAGTGGGTGCTAGCTCACTGACTTTTGTCTTACTATCCAGAAGCCTTGCTGTTTTATAGAATGAGTTCTGGGGGATTTTGTAGTTCTCCTCATATTTGGTGTGGCTGCTGTACAGTTCCCAGCTCCAGGTGCCTTGTCTCTGGGAAAGCTGAAATACCATCCCTCATTTGTTTTCCCCTGGCAATGATCTCATGTTGGAGGACATATCCTTTCCCTAGTATGGTGATTCTGTGGATTAGCTGTTCTAACATTAGACTTAGAAGTGTACAAAATCATTTCCATAGATTCATCTAAAGTTGGGGAGTGCCACCTGCCTTTCACTATGCAGAGAGAGCATGTATGATAAAGTCATTAAATGCATTTTAAATAAAATTATTTTGATACTTACATTAGAACAGATAGTGAACAAAGTGTGGAGGATATGGCTGGTTGGGATTCTGATTTTGCAGGCTTGTGACACGTGACATATGGGATGAGACTTGGAGATGAGTTGGGAAATGAAAATGCACCCTGTAGCAGAGGATTCCTTTTGCTATGGAATAGTTCACAGCAGACCTTACCTTGTCTTTTCTCATATAACTTCTGACCAAATCAATTGCAGAATTATAAATAAAATTCACCACCTTGTCTAAAAACTTCATTTTTTAGGGTGGAAACAATGTTTGAAGCTATAGGAAGCATTTTGCTAAAAATTTTGACATTGTTTTAGAAGGTAAGCATCCAAGATTTTTTGAGTAAGTTTAATATATGCAGTAGTTTATAGATAGCATTTTAAAAGAACTGAATGGACTTTCAGCCACAATTAAATGCAGAATTATATCTATATAACTATTTTAAAGTTAGCAAAAAACATCTCCCAAATAAACTTAGAAGCCTAAATTGTTTAGAAATGTCTATTTAAAAAATTGGTTAGGAGGTGACCCTAAAGTACCTTCTAACTCCTAATTGTATGAAGTTCTGAGACCCTGGGTAATTCTAATCTAGTGAGAGGTTGTTTAAAAGGGTTTATTTGATACCAGCTGACTCAAGATTGGGCATCTGGTTCTACTTTGATTAGTTCACTTTGGTTAGTTCCACTTTGGTTATTCCCAGATGCAGGACACTACTCTCAAATGTTGGAAGCTGAGGCTCTGATGTCAGATTATCAGTTTCTGTTGCAGGAAGGCAAATGGTGAGTAGTAGAACTTCTGTTAATGTAAACTGCAAAGGTAAAAATCAGATCTTTTCTAACAGGAGCTGCTAATTAACACTAGATTTAGAGTGTACAAAATAATTTTCATAGTCTGGTAGGAGGTCAGGAAAAAGTAAGTTTTAACAGGCAGGAGAAACTTTGCTATTTTAAAATGAAAAGCCAGAGCCAGGTGCAGCAGTGCATGCTCGTATCCCAGCACTTGGGAGGCAGAGGCAAAGAGGATTACAAGTTTGGAGGTCAGCTTTGGTCATATAGTGAGATACCTGTCTCGGAATGAATAAAGAAATAAATGAAATAAATGAAAAGTTCACAGCATCATAATAAACAATAATGTAGGTATTCAAAACATTTAATTTACTACATTTAATAAACAGCCTCAAACCAGGACAGCAAGACTGCTATTAGTGAGCTAGTTACCCAGGTATAATAGCTCCTGAGGCTTCCTTAAAGAATAAATGAGAGCTGGGAATGTGGTTCAGTGGTAGAGTACTTATCTAGCATGCTTGAAGCCCTGGGTTTGATTCCTCAGTATTGCATAAACAGAAAAGGCCAGAAGTGGCGCTGTGGCTCAGCCTTGAGCAAAAGAGACTCAGAGACAGTGCCCAGACCTCAAGTTCAAGCCCCAGGACTGGCAAAAAAATTAATTAATTAAAATAAAGAATAAATGAGATATTTGACTCTGCCTGTAACACATTCATACTGCAGCACAAATGAGTCTGTTCTAAGTACAAATGGACTGTGTGTTTGTTGTAATTAATCCCTAAAGGATGGCTATAGTGGCTATATGTTGAATCTTGTCCTCTTTGTGTTACGAAAAGTTTTCGTTTTGCCTTTTTTGATGAGTTTGCTTGACTTAGGAGTCTTGAATAAGAAAAGGAAAAGATAACTTTCTGAACTCAGCTCTTTTATTATTTTTGTGAATTTGGATTGTGAAGTTGAGGTGAGAATGTTGGGAACCCTATGGTGAGAGCAGAGGTGTGACTCAAGAGCAAATCACTTGCTTAACATTCAACTCCCAGCATTATAATAAAAAAGAAAAAAGCTTGTGATTTGGGTATTGTAGAATAATGTGCCTATTCTAATACAATGAGCTTTCAACACACTTTGATAGAGCATGAGTCGATTTTTATAATTGTAAACATACAAATAATTTTAATGCTACTGATTGCCTAACTGCATTTTTATATCCAGAAATATATTCTTAGGTACTGTATTTCCTACTTGAGAATCTGTTTCATATGATAAACTCTGTTTTCTTTTTACTGATTTCATAAAGAACATTGCTAGACACAAATCTGTCTCTTCCCTTCTTCCTGTCACAATTTTTGTGCCTTTTTTCCCATTCTCCAATAAATAATAGAATTATGATCTTTAATACATTTAGTGTGTTGTGTCTGAGTCACTGAGTCAACTTTAAGTAGAAAAAGGGTAATGTCTTTTTAAAAAAATTGTGTTTTTTTGTTGTTTGTTAAGTAGTTTTACAAGGTGATTACAATTTCATAAGTCAGGTTATGAGTACAATGCATTTTGAACAGTGTCACCCCTCCCATCCTCTCTCATTTTCCCTATCCCATCTCCACCCTAAAGTGTTTCAGTTTTTACATGATATACATCAAATACAGTGAGTGCATTAACTCACCCTTACTCCTTTCAGGGCTATGTCTTTAAATTCTTGCTAAACTTTTTATTGTGAAAATACTGTACAGAGAGGTTACAGTTACATGAGTAAGGTAATGACTACATTTCTTTTTTAAATTTTTTATTGTGAAAATACTGTACAGAGGGGTTACAATTACATGGGCAAGATAATGAGTACATTTCTTATCAAGCATTGTAGCCTCTTCCTTTGTTTCCCCTTCCCATTCCATCCTCTCCCCGGCCCCCCTACCCTACCCTTCTTCCCCCACCAAAGTTGTAAAGTTCGTTTGGGACATAACGACTTGTACATCTCATTGTTGCAATGGGTCCACCTGTATCCCTATTTAAATGATTTGTTTTTTTCCCTTCCCCTCCACAAATTATAACATCATCAAATACAGTAAAAGCAGGGAGGGACATACAAAGCAACAAAGAAATAATCTTATAAATGTGTTAGAAACAATCCCATGAAAGAAAAAAACATTTGAATACGTATCTTAGGGTTCATTTCCCTAACAACAACTTAGCTGACCTTTTCTGCTTGACACAGACATATCCTAGCTATTGCAAATAAGGGAAACCAGGGGACCTATGTTTCTTGGGTCTGGCTTACTTCACTTAATATTCTTTTTTACAAGTCTTTCCAT